AAATAAAGCTCCTTCCCTTTGGCTGCTTCACAAAACAAAAGGCACTTACCCAGTAGACATGGGAATTCTGGGCTTCCTGTCAAGGGAAATAAAAGACTTTAGCAGCTGCTCTTCAATGCTGGGCACCAAAAGGTCTTCAGCTGTCAGCTCAGCACCAGGGTCCTCGCTCCACCCCAGCTGGATGTAGGCACCTCCCATGAGGACAGAACTGCCCCCCAGAGCAGCCCATCAGCCACCCCCTGGCTCTGCTCCAGACACATACTCATGAGGTGGGAGATCTGCAAAGACCCTGGGACCACAGAGGGTTGCCCTCCATGCTAATTACCCACTTTCTACAGATCTAGAAACAACTGTTTCCTTGCCTCTCAGGTACCTGTTTTTCTGACAGGGTTAGGACAAGTTTCAGTGGGGCTCCACAGAAGCTGCAGTTCCACACCAAACTGTCCACCTGCCACAGCACAGGCTCCTTGGCAACTGTGCTTGTCCAGCCTTGGAAGTCCAACTGCTGTGGTAATTCCCAGCCCTCCCACTCAAAAGTCTATTGGACCTTCATTATTTTGAATGGTTCTCATGAAGTTCTTAAACTATAAAGAGCACATGGTTATCAGCTAAATCCAGAAGGCTTCAGCCAAACCCTCTAACCCACATTAGAGCCAGGAACCAGGGGCAGACACCCACAGCACTTCACCATGGGGCAGGATAACAGACCCTTGGTCCCACCCGTTGTGCACATGCCCATCTATGACCAAGGCAGCAAAGGACCCTTTCACAAACCTTCCTAAAGATCTTCCTCAGTATCTTGCTAACACTGCTCTGCAGAGCAGTACAGTGTATTTCCCATCCTACAAATAACAGGCAAAAGCAAAGCTGCAGGATCTGCTCTTCAAAAAATGGTATGAAAAACAGTTGCATGTTCATACCTCTGCTGGGCATTGTGACACAAAAATCACAAGAAAAATTATTTCTCCAGTAAGCAGAAGGTACCTTCGGTCAGTAAACTGACCTTAGAGGAACAGGCAGGTTACACAGACCACAGCACTAACCCAGCAGCACAGACCTACCCTCATGCCCATGTAGAAGGGGATGACTGTGACACGGATGTTCTCCGTGGTTTCCCGGTGCACGTCAGAAAGCTCCAGCCAGGGGTGGTTCTTCTCCTGCCAAGCACACAGGGTGTCCCTTGCCACAAAAGGAGGAACTGAGGAGGGAAAGATGAGTTGATGAGGAGAGGCACAGCATAGCCAGAGGGATTTCCCCTCAAAGCAACTTCTTTTTTCATATAGATAAAAAAATGATTTAAAGGAAACTTTACTCTAGCATAACCCAAAGCAGACCAAGGTTTTTACACTGTGTCCCAGACCATGGGTTCTGGATACTCACAGAGGACCTCAAGGATCTGGCTCTGAAGAGTTCCCTCTGAAGCCAGAAATTACCTTTTGTTTGGTCGTACATGAGGAACCTCTCAAAGAGCTCATGCTGGATGGGCACTTGATCAGTGGAGCTGTAGGGAAGGATATCTTCATGGCTGACATAGTCTAAACCTGAAAGAGAAACCCCAAAAGCCATTGAAGTTCCCCAGCAAAGAGCAGCTCAGCAGTCTCCTGGCAGAGAAGTGGATCACACTGGTGAGTACCCACTCACCTGGGATGGCATAGAGGGCTCTGCTGTCATCATGGTTTGCCAGGAACGTCACTGCTTCTGTCTGTGACCTCTGTGACTGAGGAAAAGGAGCTTTATGTCTTTCTGGGGGGACTTCTGCCCCTTTCCAGCCACGTTTCAGCTCGCTGCTGTGGTTTTTAAAGTGTGCAATGCTCATTTCTGCAACCAATTCACCTCAGAACATCTCTCCTTTTGACTCCTCGAGACTAATTCTCCACCCAAACAAGTGAAGAGCATTTTCAGTGTTTCAACCCCTCTTCACAGAGACCTGTGTGCAACTAGGTAAGAACACCCACAGGATGAGGAAGGGGAAACAGGATCCAGGGAACAGTTATACAATATTCCAGAATATCTTTCTCAGGGAAAACATTACTCAAAGGACACATTTGTCCTAAAATCCTAAACAAATTAACCATCAAAGCTGTTTTCTTTCAGTGCCTAAAGCATTCACACAGGAGAAGGTATTTGAGTGTCAGTAGCAAGACTAGTGGTTACTTACTATATGAGGACAATCCCGGGCATCTATTAACACCTGGTAGTAAGTGTGTGTTTTGCCCTTGACCTCCTTGGAGCCGTGCCCGGCCGTGGTGTCGCTCCTGAGGGGAAAAGCAGAGCTCTGAGCTCAATGCAGCACCTCAGCCAAGTGTTCTGACCAGGACCAAGCACACCCATAAACAACAGGTTGGTTGTTTTTTCCACAGAAATCCCTTTCATAACCTTTCATCGTTCAGTCCCACCCAAATTAACCTCCTCTCAGCCCCACCACGAGGGGTGACAATCACACACCTCAGGGGGGAAATGGAGGGAAGAAGGGAGAGAAGTAACAGTGGCTCAGGAACAAGAAGGATGAACTTGGCCTTGTGGTTGGCACTGGGGAGGCAGCTGACAAACCCAACTCACTGCAGTTTTTACTCAGGAGCCCAGACCTAACTCAAAACACACTGTAAAGTTTTGGTTTATTACAAAGAACGTCAGGAGCCTGATTTTCATTTTACTTCTTTCACGTTCCTGTCCTGTTTCTAATACCAAATGAATCCTCATGCAGTGTCCTGTTTCTAATACCAAATGAATCCTCATGCTGTACTACTCCTGTAGTTCACTCATGTGAACTACTCCTGTAGTTCACATTCACACAAAACAGACCCACAAACCTCCCCAGAAAGACTTTGTGTATCCCAACCAACATCCAAACTGTGGATGGAATATTCCAGCAGCCCAGACACCAGGACAGGCCCTTACTTTTCTGTGACAGGAGAAGCCACGTCTCGATCGTAGAGCCTGGCTTGCCAGGGGAACAGGACGATTCCTCGGTAGCCAAACACACTGTGAAGAAACAGCTGAAAGGAACAAATCACTGCATCTGAATCCACAGCCAGCTGCAGTCAGCTCAGACACAACAGAAAACATGAAGCCAAAAGCCCTTTTCTGATAGAATCTGAAACATTCTGGTGACTGAGGTCAAACTAGAAACGTTTGCAACCAGTATGAAGGTGTGGGATGGGGTACAGGGGAATCACCAGGATGCAAACACAGAGCAGGGAGGGAACATAAACAGTTTGGGGTGAGAAAAGAAATTCATGTCATCTCCACCCCACAAAAGTGAGTGACTAAACCAGGAATAAAGGAACAGAAGGACAGAAGTGCAGAGAAGAGACCAGCACAGGAGAGACCACTCAGCAGCACAGAAAATGATCTGAGTCACAAGCACAGACATGACAACTTCAGCTGTTAATTCTCAAACTCAACAACTGTCTCTTAAGGGAAAAAAAAACAAAACCAAACAACTTAAACAAAACCAGCAGAGCAAAATGCCACTGCAGGAGCAGTTGTGTCACACTGCAGATTCTTATCAACTCGCTACTGTCAGATGACTGACAAACTGCAGACACAGCAGAGACAAGGAGCACTGAGCTGTGACACTTCTGGCCTCCCCTGCTGCCTGGTCCCGAGGAGCCGGCAGGGGCAGCGCTGCTCCCCACCCGCTTACCTGACCTGTCTCGTATTTGCCGTGTTGCTTCGGTGCCTCAAACACCCCCACCGGCTCCAGCACTTTGCCCTCGGGACGGTTTCTAAGAGCAGAGAGGTAGTTTGGTGGGTCTGCAGGGGCTGAACCAGCCCCCGGGGTCACACAGCACGCGAGCCCCAGGGGCTGGCCAGGCACGGCCCCCACCTCAGACCCCCCTTGGGTACCCCTTGAGGGCCCCATTAGGCTGCCTGGTCACCCCCCTTCCCTACCTCCCCCTCTCTTGCCAGCCTTCCCTCTCCCAGCTGCCTCTGACACCCCCTCACC